TTTATTGCCTCCCCCATTGGTCATTTTATGTATTCAATTCCAAGAATACTTATTTTTACAAGCAGGAACGTCTTCAATTCCTTTGGTTACCAGGAGGCACAAGGGAACAGAAGATTCAAGAGACCCTCCCTGCAACAGTCCCTCCTCTTCCCAGCATCCTCAAAGCACCTGTGCAGGACTGTATGATTTACCAGCAAATGGCCGGCATATCTTTCAGCATGCAGAAACATCACATCTAGATACTAAGTGAGCAGAGAGAGATAAGAACGGGCAAGAAAAGCAAAAAAACTCCACCAGAATGGGAAAAAGTAGGAGGTAGTAAAAGTAATTTCAGATGAGAAGAGAGGCAGCAGATAATGCAGAAATACAGATGTTAAGGTAGAAATTGCTAAATAGATTTGGAGGAGGCCAACAAGTAGTGACATGACAGGCCACTTTGCAATGTTTTAATAAGTGTGGTAAGGCAGTCAGTGAAGATTCTCCACACACCTCTGGCAGAGCCTCTTCCTCTAAAGCAAACCAAAGTTTTCTCCAATGTCCCCCTCTGACCCCAAAGTGCTAAGAAACCCTGGATCTGCAATACCATCCTGTGTGACAGAGGAAACTCCCTCCTACTGCTGTTGGCCCAGTGGCAGAGCACGCATACTGAAAATAACTGTATATAAGGAGGCATTTTGCCAGTAGAAACCCTGTGGTATAGGAGTAGCCCCTCTCCTCCACACCCTGTCTCTCTGCCAGACACCCAACTATCCTAATCTGGCAACAGCCCCCAGCGCATTCATGCTCCAGCTCATTCACGCTTGAAGACAGCAAAGCAGACCTATTCTGCTCAGGAAACTACTTACTTCCCTGCTCCCAGCTCCTACAAAGTCCACCTGGAGCAGCACCATTGTGGGTTGCAGCCCAAGCCTGCTGACATCACTGCATACAAGCATTAAATACAAGGTTTTCTTTCAGGCTTGATAAAAGTACCACCATACACACACATTTTCCAGCACCCATATAACAGACCTTCTGTCTCTACTGCAGCCAACTCTCATTATCTTCCCACTCAGACGCCAGGGGAAGCCGCATTACCACCATTTTTATGATTATTCTGCTCTGACATTGCTGGTACAGGACAGACATGCACCACCACACAGGAATCCTCATCACAACATCAGTTCTCCCAGCAAAACCATTTTTTGCTTAGGAGTCACACAGGCACATATGCTGGGCTTTGCCACCACCTAGCTGAGGACCTTGGATGAGCTCCTGTTCCTTGGAGGAATGACAATACTGGTATTTACTGACCTCCATGAAGTGCTTCATTAGGTGAAATGGCCAAAAGATGCACCACTAGTACACCCAGGGTTCAGCTTCAGTCTGGGTTTTACAAATGGAGATAAGGGATATTCTGCACACAAATCCACTAAACACTAAATTTCCTTAGTACCCTCTAACATTACACAGCACACGCACACAGAAACAAGTCTGCAACTTCTGCAGAGCCAGTCAGCTCCTCCTTTTCCAAACATTTGTCAGCCCTTGCAAGGAGAGCCGGTAGCCTGGAGTACACTGATAAATCTTGGATTACCAGCACCTTTGGCTTCTCCTGGCAAGCTGCCAGTCACCAGGGTACCGAGCCACCGATTGCAGTGTAACATTTCCATTCCAGGACCACACCGCTGAGACAAGGCTCTTAGCTGGGGTAAGCTCTGAACGACCAACAGCTGGCTCAGGCCCTATTTCCAATACCTTTGGGCCACCAGACCCAGCTCACTTATGAAGAGGTTAGGCAGTCATTCTGGTACTCACCATGACTATATTCGCCAAGTGAGCTGAGACAAGAGCATACACACCTCCAGAGGAACCCACCACAGGCGCAGTCATATCAGCCACTGACACTGCCAGGGACCCTGGAAGAAACAACAAGGGTTTGTGACAATTGCCAGCCAAATAAACACACTCTCTCCTACCCTACCTCCCTGCTACCTCCTGTTCTGTGCTAATTGCTGCAGGTCAGTAATATGCAGATAAAGAGAAGGCAGGGGAGAATCAATTGACTTGTGAAGCTAACTCAGTTCTGTAGTACTGCCAAGCTAGTGACTGACTGATTCTTTTGCACCTGCTTTAAAAGCAGAGACGCAAGGCAGCAACGTATCTTCAAACCTATACTGCAAAAAAGGTACACCCTGATTAAAATAAAATGGAAGCAGGAGACAGACAAATGTCTGCATCTTGTTCCTCACCTGAAGATAAAATAGAAGTGGCTTCCATGCTGGCAAAACAAATATTTACACAGTGAGAAGAAACTGGGGACTTGTAACTTAGCACAGGCCTCTGATCAAAGCACAGCCTGTTACTTATAAAACTTCAGAGTAAAACTAGCTAAAAATAACCTGGATGGAGGCAGTAAACACAAGATAGCAAAATGACAGGTCAATCACATAAAGGCACCACTAATAACAATACATCCAAACATAGACACTGCTTCTTATCCCAGCTGGAGGCTTGGGTCTGCTCAAAGCTCCTTTCACTGCAAACTTTAAGAGTAATTTAAGAGATAAGCAAAGGCAGACTTGGTGTTACAAGGCAGGGATAATTAAGATCTTTATGATGAGTGGGAATGGAAAAAAAGACACAATGGCAACTCTTGAGAGAGTCCTTGGTAGTACAGAGTATAAAAAAAACTTCTATGCTAATTGCTCAGCTGATCCTGGGTCAAGAAAGTGCTGAGGTTCCACCAGCCAGTTCTGCTGACAGCACCCTCCTTCGCTGTATGGCCCTGAGACTTCTCAGCTCTTAAACACTGCCATTAAGGGAAAAGTTAATGAGAAGTTAAAAAAGGAGTAATGAGAACTTGCAGTGAAGTCCCTGGACACTGCTCTGAACGTATACCTTCAGTCTCTTGATCTCAGTCTCAACATGTCTTAGTAAAGCCAGACAAATGAGAAAAAAAACAAACATAGAAGTAGGGAGTGGCCATTATGGCCTGCATCTCCATTGTACTGTTATTCCTAATTGTTTAGAAGCTGTGTTGTGTTTACATTGCTAGATCCTCGGCATAAGTATGCGTCTTTCTCTCTCTCCTGGCATGCGTCAAAGAAAAAGCATGTTTAGTAATTGCCTAACAACTCAAACAAGTAAGGGTACCATGAGATGTTTCTGTGTGGGGGACTGTCAGGTCACATTTGTAGTTCCACCAAAGTTTTCCCTTTCCACTTTCTTCCACAATTTATAGGTCATAAAGTATGAAAGGCAAGTCTATATGAGGATGCGGCACCTTGTCTGAGAAAAAAAATGGGATTATCTGTGTATCAGAAATGAACCAATAATGCTGGGTGGGCTAGTGAGCCTCACTCAGGCACTGGCTACAAGCCTCCAGAGCTCCAGGTGTTCAGACCAGCCCAACACCCAGTACAACCTGCTTCTGGCCCTGAGGACCCTGCCAGCAAGTCCATGACCAGAGGAATCTGAGAGGCAGCCAGCAACTCGCAGTGCTTACCTGGGCTCAACTGCAGCAGATTCAATGCTAACTTGCTTCGCTCACTGGCACAGATGCGCTATGTGTATTTACACATCTATAAATGAAAGCCCAGGGTTTGGTACATGGGTCTATGTAGAAAAGTTTATGTCTGGAAAGTTGCAGATTGGGGACCACTTTAGTGCTTATTAAAATAGTAGGCAAGGGACAGTGGAGCTGATGTGCTAACTCCTTTCTCTGCATTAAATAGCGTGGTGTTTGTACCATGCCTAGTCCTGTGTCCTAGTCCAATTATTCTTTCCACAGTCTCTCTCCTGGAATGTAGGATTTATTAGTACCCAATGCAGCCCATTTTACAAAGGCTTTATCTGCTCATTATGGTAAAAATAAAATTATGTAGCTGGAAAAAAACCCCCATCACCATAAATCTTAAACTAAGGCAGTCAATCGTTGTCTTGAGTTCCACTGTGAAGCCCTTGGCTGTTCTCATACTCTCCTCCTGTTTTAATTAGATGTTGATCTATTGTCAGCTAACTTTCATCACCTCCAAACTGCTGGAAATGCCAAACATAAATAAAAGCAATACAGCACAAACTAAAAATCAATCAAACCCCAAAGCTTCATGATTAAATGAATTTCCAGATTTCTGTGCTCTGCTCACAGCTTACAACCAAGTACTTCTTGCTTACTCGAGCTGCAGAAAGCAGACAGAACAGGAAAAATGGAAGAACAACTGGCACAGGACCTGGAAAAAAAAAATTACTCTTTATGCAGGGATGCTTGTGATGCCACCTTTCTTCTAGGCCTCTGTCGGATGCAAGAGGAAAGGAACAGCATGACCTCCACATTCAGGAAGATCATCTAAAGCGAGGCTATTTTAAAGTAACAGGTTGTTGGTGGTTTTTCAGCAGGTCTCCTAAACATAGAGCCTATGGCTAGTTAGAAACAGATGTCTAGTTGTAGTATATTTCCCACTTCCAGCCTCCAAAAGAATTTCAGCTCACAGAAGATCAGTGACTGCTCTTCGACACCCAAATGTTACAAAACATTGCTCCTACACAAAAGTCAGCACAGACCATTTTCAGGTGCTCCTCCATCTAGGGCATCCAGAGGTGTCACCTACCTGCCACAACTCCGGCAACGTACACAAAACTGATCCTTGCAGCTCCATGCACCATTTCCAGGGGAACCCCAACCAAAAGCTGAAGGACAACATTGAGTCCAAGGTGTTCTATCCTGCGGCAAGGAAAAACAACAGTTGTCCTCTTTTCTAACTCTTTGCCTCCCTTCTCCACCTTTGAGACAGAGATATCTTGGAAAGGAAATCAAATAGCACCTGCTTCATGAAAGTAGACTGTAACACTGGGAAAAAACAATGGTTCCTGGAAAAATCAGACCGAGAGCCGCAATGTTTCTTCCCTCCTTGCTGCTCATTATCTTTCTTTTTTCTTTTTGTTTGAAGAAGTTAAATGAGTTGTCTGAAAAAGCAGCAAGATGGCAGCAGAGCCTGGAACAGAAGCCAGAAATTTGACCTGCTTTTCTCCCCTCCTAATGATACAGCCTTTCCTAGTATATATTACACTGCCATGATGAGGAGCGGATACTAAGTCAAGAGCAAGGTAAGCCTAGCAGGCCCAAGACAGTTGCCATTTTCTTGTGACACATAATGACACTTCACTGTTTGTGCCATCTGACCCCCACCCTTTTCTGCTGCGCCTACTTCAATGTGATCATGGTCAGAATGGGAAGCAGAGGGCATTTTTATCACTGGTTAGGTACCCAGTGAGACACAAGGTGTATTCACTGAAGCTCTCTGTTCACCTACCCTTGTTCCCATTCCAGTCAATAGCAAAACTCGCTGAATGGAATGGGAAAAGCTGGGCTAAGACTAGTCTTGTAGAAAACCCCGCTGTGCACATCAGGATTTGAAGGACCACTTACAGCCTAGAGGTCGAGAGTATGACAGCTAAGATGTGCACATTTGATGAAGACTCCAGTGCAGCAGTTTTCTCCTGTGTTGAATCAATAGTTTCAGAGCAAGTTCTTTGTTGTTCTAATCAATAGTACTTAACAAAACTGTCTTGCTACTTTTCAAAGGTCTATACAAATATTTACCCATGCCTTTGCCATCTGCAGGATCTTCCAGTGATGTACCAACAGCACTAGGCCCCTAAACACAGTCCCTCTCAACACCGTGCTAGTGTCGGAGATTTACCCTGGGCTCATGGGGCTGTGACCTTGCTGAATGGCCATGTCACACTGGATCCAGGGGTGTAGTGCTTTCTGTAGGAAGAGTGCCCAAATCTGCTTACAAAGCAGGTGGACCTAAGTGACACAGAGGTACTCTTAACACAGAAGGCTAGCATCTT